CCTGCTGTCACTCCCCAGTGAGCCCCTGGAGCTCCTGGTCTCAGGTGAGGGCCCGTGACCCTGTCTGCTGAGCTGTCAGCTCAGGGTCCCGTCCCCAGAACAATCATGGGCTGAAAGGGAGTGAGGGGCTGTAGGGATGGTCACCCAAGGAGATCTGCCCCTCAGAGACCCTCCGCCCCATGCACAGCCCTCCCCCTCACCTGGGACAGAAGGTACCAGGTGGGCACTGTGAGGGTCTGAGGGGCCGCAGGGCAGATGCAGGAGGAGTCTGAGTGAGGTGGGGAGCCCAGGATAGGCCCCAGAGTCTCACACTTTGTGTCCTCCTTCCCTAGACCCTCTGGTACCCCGACTCCCCAACAACAGGGACCGTGTCCACAGTTGGTCAATCCTGGGTCCCCTTTGCTCAGAGGGAGCACTGTCCACCCCAGGGAAGTTCTTAGTCTCCTAGAGGATCTAGCGCCCCACTACCACCCCCCACTCAGAGACAGGCTTGTGTCCCAGGGCCGCCAGGAGTCCGGGAAAAATTTCAGGGAACTACTGGGCTCCAAGGTCTCTGAGGATTCTCCCCCCGCCCCATGGAGTCAGGCCTAAGAGGGGGAAGTGAGGCAGGTAACAGGTGGGGTGGTCATGGCAGAGGGAGATGTTGGGGCCCAGGCTGAGGGAGGAGAAGAGGCCAGAGAGTTGGAGAGAGGACAGGGGGACACTCCCTGGGCTGCTCATTTCCAGAGCCCCTTGGATGGAAGCCCTCACCACACAAGTGGGGTCCCTGAGCTTCTCAGAGCAGGACAGGTGGCTACTCTGGCCAAGGTGGGATCTGCTGTGGGTGACAGTGCCGTACCCACTGCTATAGTGAGAAGTGTCCCCACCTGTGGGCACCAGTCTGCAAGGCCCTGTTCCCCCTGGAGGCCTCCAGGCCCTCAGTGCCCGCCTGAGACTCAGGGGGATCATGGAGGGCTCATGAGGAGCTAGGGGGTCCTGCCCAGACTCTGTGTGAAATTCAAGTTTGCTCTCTGCATTTTTTGTTCTTTTGCTGGGAACTTGTAGGCAATACTTGCATATATAATTTTAACCTGCAAACATTTATGACTGAAAAACATGGATTTATTCTTATTTTTATTGGGAGTATAGTAAATCTATGTATTTATTATGAGGAGTAACTTCTTATTAACATGAAGTTTCTTATAAAAGATGCTACAAAAAGTTAATTTTTAAAAATATATTTTTATTGATTTCAGAGAGGAAGGTAGTGGGAGAGATATACAGAAACATTATTGATGAGAGAGAATAATTGATCAGCTGCCTCCTGCATGCCCCACACAGGGGATGGAGCCCAAAACTTGGGCATGTACCCTGAATGGTAATCGAACTGTGACCTCCTGTTCATAGGTCCACGCTAAACCACTGGGCTATGCCAGCATGGCTAAAATGGTTAATATTTGAGTTCAAGTGAATTTTGTAGTTTTATTCATAAAAATGTCCACACTCAGAGCTCAAAAACTGCTCAGGTTTTACATATATGAATGTCTACATATTAGAGACCAAATGTGTGGATCCTGGGTCCTCGCTGTTGCAAAAATATAAGCTCTCAGATGCAGATGAGATAGTTTCCCTGGTACAGAATCCACAATGAGAACAGAGATTAGAATAACTAATTATGGCCCTGGCTGCTGTGGCTCATTGCTTAGAGCATCAGCCCATGTCCCACAGGGCCGTGGGTTTGATTCCCAGTCAAGGGTCACAGGTGTGATCCCTGGCCCCTGTCAGCCTTGTGCAGGAGGCACCGATCCATGTGTCTCTCTCACATCAATGTTTTTCTCTTCCTCTCCCTCTCTCCCCATCCCCTTGTCCCTTTTACTCTCTTTGAATATCAATGGAAAAAATATCCTTCAGTGAGGATTTTAAATAAATAAAGACTCACCATTTTTCAAATCGTGAGCCCATATTTCTGCTCAATCCT